TTCTAGCGCCCATGTCTTAGGATGCTAGATTCGGACCCGACGGCTGCGGCGTGCAATGTTGCTGACTTAGCGACTAGTTGCCCCCCTTCCCCCGAAAGTGTTGTCGCTGCTTTTCCTTCCTGCTGCCGGCCTACCCCATCCCTTCGGCAAGTCGCACAGCAGGTGGCAGTCAGCTATCTTGTTTCCTCTTCCTTCGGTCTTTCCGTCTTTCCTGAAGTTCCCCCTTCTCTTCCATGCTTCCCTCTTCGTTTCACAGCTGGCGAAAGCTATTTCTCCGTGAAAAGCGCCCCACCCCGTGTGGTTTCCGCGCAGACTTGAATCACGGTGAGTAAACATCAGAAGAAAATGGGAAGGAGCTCGATACGAAATGTCTGTTCGCCTCCGTTCGATGTCCCCGCCGACGATTCAAAATATGTGCGTCGCTCGGGAATCGGGGACCAAAAGCAGCGCATCAGATGAACACCTCTCCGCAGAGATCCGCTCCAGTCCGCACCCGCGGCGCAGGTGGGCAATTCACAGCTGCGGATTGTTCACAAGCAAAATTGTCCCTGCGGACCGCTACCGCTGCCCCTACTACAGGACTGAAGGGTCTTAATCTGATCGCGTAGTTAATCTCTCACCCCGCTTCGCGAATAAAACACAAGCCTCGCTGATTCCGAGCTGTTGTTCCAGGAGTCCTCGGAACAATAGGACACAGCGGTGAAATCTCAGCGATATAGGGGGAGCGGGTGGTTCACCGAGCGGGCAGTGGACACGCTAAGTGTTGCCGAGTGAGTTGGATCCAATGAGGCCTCAATATTCATTCCGATGAACTTTCCTAACAGACGACGACTAGCGAATTCAGAGGACGAAGAAGAATGCCACGAACCGCGTTGCCAGTGAACGTAGCATCTAGGAGGTCAGGAGACCGACCCGGCTGCGGGAGATCGGTCGTCCTGGTCGGAGCATGTCCGAGAGGAATTGCCGAGAGAACGCGGCAGTACCGCCCACCGAGGAGATTGTCTGATGGTCGACCTGCTTCGTCTTTGAACAATGAACATTAAATGCAGTATCGGGTATGTTCACAGGTGGACTCGCCCGGGGACTCCGGAATTCTCAGACATCCCGTTCATTGTTCCCGCATCAGTCCGGAATTGAGATGATTCGCGCCGATGGAGCGAGAATAGGCACAGAAAGCGGTTTTCTTTCTCGGGAGAAAACGCGACAGAAACGCAAGCGAGAAATGGAACGAAGAAGTCTGGCGCGGAGGCAAAGCTCCACTGAAGAAGGATTTAGGTAATGTGCGCTTTACCTCCGCTACGCTCACCGCTCGCCCCACGTGCCGCCGACTCCGGTGTAGAAAAATGGTAGACGGCAAACAGGAACGTTCTTAGCGTTCTGTGAAGCCATGCGAAGAAGCCGCATAAGTTTGCCCGCGTCTCCGTCGCTAAGTCCGTGTGCTGAATGCGCGCTTTCCGAATGGAGTTACGAAGACGGAGCAGAAGGATCCCCGCTAATTTCAACTGGAAGCGAGCCCTGCGGGATTCCAGGAGCTGCGAATCCGAACTCTTCGGCGAGCGCCTCCGAGACGCAATACTGGTTCGAAAAGCATGGTTCTTTTCATGAACTGATGGAAACTCAGCAGACTACCCAAATACCTCGATGTTCGAGCTTAATCGAATGGAGGATGAAATTCGGGGTCTCCGTGGAGGAAACGCCATCATTGCGACTTGCGACGCCTCATCACTGGCTCCAAGTCCTTCATTCGCTGCAGTCAATAGATCAAAACCGATAAATGACTCGGCTGATTGGCTATATGGAGTCATCGTCCCCTCAGGACTACGCGATGAGAACTGCTCCCTCAGATGTCCGCTCCTGGATCCGTGAGTCATGAAATTCCTTGAGGCGAAGCTCCTCGAGCAAGGAGTGACTTTCTGATACCCGCTTCGGAATTCATGAGGAATGTGATTAATTTCGCCGCTTGTCGAAACATGGGTAACGGAGGACCTGTTTCTGCTCAAAGCATCTTTCCATCTACGAGAATCCATCGTTTACCCCCCTCCCTCTTCCTCCCAATATCGTCCGTTGTGGGTATTCTCGGATCGGAACGTGGACGATCTGTTCCGTAAGAGATCCTCTACGTAAGACGCTTGCTCCGGATAGTAAATCAGCTTCCTTGCCTCTGACCGGCTCGTCTCATGATCTCGGCTCACTGCCCAACGGCTGCCACCGAATGAGAGGAAGGAGTTTCTCAATAAAGCTGTTCATTATTTATAGAGCATCGCTGTTGATACGCTGGTTCTGCTGACTGGTCGACCGGCTGGCTGAGAGCACAGCTTTATCTGCCGGTGATACGAGCGATGACCCCTCTGTTCCCGAGCGGGGAAAAGGATCTGGGCTTCGCCATCAAAAACAATGAGTCCTATAATCCATCATTGCGTTGCGACTGGACGAAAATATCCATCGGAAATAATTTTATCGCACCGGAGATAAGGAACCGAATCAGTAGATTATGAGGAAACAAGACGATTATTTTCTCAAGGGTCCGTTCGAGAATATCACGTCGGATGTCAAGCTACCGAAACTGGAGTTGGCGTGGACGGAATGATTCTTCTCAATCGCTGCGTCCAATGAGGAGGGTCCTCGAGGGTGCCGTCCGCGAGACGTCGACTAATGAACGGAAATCTGAGACGACAACTCACGATGGCGAGCCGCGTTCATTGCGGGACACTCGTCCGCGGCTTTCGGCATCCTCGAGACTAGGATATGAGCGTCCCCATTTCCAAGGTCGACTCGACCTCACAAGAAGCAGCGCCGTCACACATCGTGTCTCCGCTGGCCGAGAGTGTTCACTTTGTGCTCCGTCGTTCCTTCCTGAAGATTGCACAGACAACGTCGACGTCATGAAGCCCGCCGGCGCCTCCAGCATCAACTAAGTCAGTCGACATCATTAACGACTTTGTTCTGTCGAGCACCTTCAAGCTTAACGCCTCCCGTCGTCATCTCATTCGTCCCCTTTCGGTCGAGGATTGAGTTCTTTTAGGCACCTCGTACCCTCCGAGAGAATCGCGATCCCATCGGAGATATATAACCCTCGCATTTGTTCCATCATCGAGAAAAAGCCTCCGAGCGATGGGTGTGAGAATTTCCCGATTTTTTATGGCTTGTTTACGACGCTCCAAAAACTTTTCCGATTTACAAAACGTGTGTCCCCCGGAGAAAGCGATGTGACTTCGGCAAGCCTCCCACAATCGTAGGAGGGCGGAGAGAAAATGGCGCGAATGAGTCGAAGGGCCAGACTCGAGCGAGTTTGACTGCCGTGTGATTGTCACATCGAGCGTGACACGGAGCTCGTCGGCCCTGTTAGGAGGAGCTCGCACAGAACTGGGAGAGGCTGCTGATTTCGTAGTTAAAAGAGAAATTCAGAATTCGGAATTCCGAGCACGTCGGATGATCGCTCTTCCAGACGCCACCGGTCCGATCGGAACCGAGGAGGACGTCTCAATGGGGAGCGAGGCGACACGCACAGAGACGCGTCAGGAGAATGAGGAACGACCGGGACGAAATAGAAAAAAAATGAAGATTGAGAAAGAGAGCTGAAGCAATAAGGACGAAGATGGATGACGGTCCCCATTCCAGGAGCGCCAGACTCGATGGCGCAATGTGACAATTAGCGATCGACATCGTCCGGGAGCCTGTTTTGTGGAGAGCGGGAGCCGAATGACGGGGATTCACACGGTGAGACGCAGAGACGATTGGGGACGTATGTGACAAATTTGATCCACAGAATTGGGTCCGAGTCGTAAAATAGAACGGAAAAGGCATCAGCGGATAAGAGTCAGGCAGGACCGGCATCGCGTGTCGCGTCTATCTTTCCTCCAGAGATCGATCTGTTCTGCGGGGATCATTTATTCAGGCCGCCTGATGTGTGCATCAGAATTCATCTGCATTCTGCGTCTTTTCGGCTCGAATTTCGCGATCCGCCATCCTGAAACCGAGAGTCTCCCTCTGCCGCGGAATCCCTGTCTCCTCTGAGGAGTTTTTCTCTTCTCGCGAAGCACGCGCACGTGCAGCTTTGGGCTTCGTGGGGGCTCGGAGCTCAAAATCTGAGAGCGATCGGAGCGTGTTTGGATTCGAACAGAAGAAGTTGTTCCCCAAACCTCTCGAAATTGATTGGTTCTCTTAGGATAGGAAGACGACGCCGATGCGACGTCGAGTCGGCAAAGCAGCGAGCCATGTGCAACGTTTTCAGTGGGGTAGTTCCCCATTCGGTCCAGGCCTTCCTCTAGCGGTGTCATGAAAAGTTGTCGGTGTTTCCGTGAGCTTTCAAGGCTGTCTTGTTGTCAAGACGGAGAATATTCACTTTTTAACACGAAGTTCTACGACGCTGCCGCTGTCTCCCGCTGTTGATCCATTTTTTACCATTCATCCCCCGCTTTCATTGTTCTTCACCTTGGTCATCCTCGGAAAACTTCTGCCGCATTCCCCGCGAATCAATGCATATTCTCAGGCAGTCATCGAAGCGGTCGAGTAGGAGGGTTTCCATGTGCCGTTTGCAGATCAGAATTTATTAGAGAATGAGGAGCGATTACCGATTGCCGAGACGTTCCCGTGATTTCTACTGTTCCTCGTGGATGAAGTCAAGAGACATAAGACATAACGCACCAAGCGGTTGAGCGACAGCATCGGAACGTTCTACGAAGGAGCTCTCAGACGGTCGTGTACTCGCGGGAAGTTGCGAAATTCTCTAAAACTTGAAAGAGCACGAGATTCTCGCGTCGAATCGCGTCTTCCCCGAATTCCGTCTTGTTCCTAACTCTCCTTGAAGTCACCGGTCCCCTATCAGTCGGACGACCACTCCGTGGGGAAGCGAATGTATCAACACCCCGCTCAAGGCACTCCATTTTAGAAAAAATATTTTTCATCAGAACAATTTCCGAACTATAGCCGAACTTTGGAGGACTTCGAAGTGACATCATCTGCGCTCATTCGACGTTCATTCGTTGGTGTCTTCAGCTTACCTTCTGTAGCCCTCAGCGAAACACGACGCTTGCGAAAGCTGCCAGGAAGTTCAAGCACGTTGCGCGGCCGGATTTACTCGACGAACGTGGGGCATCCTTTCGAGAGCACAGTCGAGACTCAACTGAGGGCGGGAAGACGTTATGTTGCAGGGCTCGTCCGCTGGGGGCGCGCACGTCGCTCGTGGGAGGATGGGGTTCGCTAGTCGGTGCGAAATTACCCTGGCATCCCTTAAACCCCCGGAACAGTCCAGCCGGCGACTCGGACAAAACAGACACATTTTTCAACCTGCCGAGAGGAGCGAGGGAGAAAGAACAGAGGCAAAAGGTGGCGGCGCAGGAAACATGGTCGAGGCCGGGCAAGTACTTTTGATGGCGGGAGGACTGAGGAAATTCGAGCGGGGGAAGAGAGAGCGAGAAAGCGAGAGTGGGAAACGAGAGGTGACAACCTGGGCGAGGTGAGGACTGATTGCGGGCTGTGGGCTTTTCGACTTCCATTTGTCGGAAGAGAAACTACGGCCCCGCGCTTGAATAGCATTACAGGAAAGAGAGGGAGAAAAGCTCTCTAATGCATTCTGCAGTCATGCGAATTTCTCTTCGCGCGGAAAGTCCCGGAGCCTTCCAGGGGGAAGCAGTCCACAGCGGAATTTAGCGCGAATTCGAGGATGGGGACGAAACTACGGAGGGACGCAGCGAATCAGACGAATATTAGCGGAAACAATTTCCTTCGAAAATATCCAAGCCGTCCTCGAGGGGGCTTGAGATTCTCCTCGGGGACAACGAAACGGCCGGGCCTGCGCGAGGAGTATCCGGATGAATTATTTCAGGAATCGACTGAGGAAAACGCCTGGCGGGAAGCCGAAAACACTCGCGCTTGCGTCGATCTCACACCAGCTCGCGCCCCGAATGTCACAACAGTGTCGCTCGTCTCTCATAATTCCCGTAAGTGCCAGAGTCGCCAAGGGTGCCGACAGCTCGCCCGTGTGTCTCATGCATTATTCCGCAGTGTTTGCGATATTCAGTAGATCACATAGCCGAGCAGTATCGAACAGGACCATCGAGACTGCCAGCACGACAACGACCTTTTCGCCCATGCAGTCGTTGATGGTGTAGACGCTCATGACGATAACGCATGCAGTGTCGATTCCATGCCATTCTCATGTCATTCGATGATGGTGCTCATCATACACGATGAAGCCGTGGTTGCTCGGCTGATCGGCTTGGAGGTGGACAGAGTTGTTGGCGTCATGCCAAAACCTGTGGAGTGTCACCGATGCGGCGAACGAAGAGCACGCCGCACTATTCGGAATAACGTCGTAATATCGTTATTCATTGAGCGTCATTGAGGATGAGTGCTTCCCGCTTCTGGCTCATTCCCCCGGATGGAATTGCGCACAGCTGAACGGAATGAGTCACCGTGGAATTTCGCGAGTTCGCCGGCACCTCCGCTATACATGAATACATACATCGAGACACATATATGTATGGAAGAGTGGATCTTCTTGGGGGAAATCATGCTCTGGGAGTAATATCAAATTCTGAGCTCGCGATTGAAATAGTTTCGAGGGCCCTAGAATCGGCGGTCTGTCCCGAGACTTTGAGCCTCGAATACCGTCGGTAGATCGAGAAGGAAAAACTCGCGCTCAGGCAATGCGTTCAGGCCAAAATCGTTCGACCGTTCTCAGACCCGGGCAATTCGTTGTTACTTCTCAGTGAATTGCACCGCTGCCCCGGTCCCCCCGCTAAGAGACCGAAAACCAACCCGACGACAAATACTTTCGGGTTCTCCCTCCTCTCGCTGCTCGAATCGCTGCTAACAGATCCATAAAAATCGAATTGTTCACCTGAGTGAGCAACTTGTCGAGCGCCGCGCAATTTCAAGTCAACGAAGTGGAGGAGGAATCTAGCTTCAGAGTTACAACCTGGAGCCCTGAAGTACAAGGAGAAGAAGGACGCTTGAATAGAGTCATGAGAAGAAACTCGAGCTATATCGAGGAGCTTACTATTCCTCCCGATCAGCAAGGTTTGGATATCTAGAATCGATGCTTAAATCTCTGAATGTTCGAGGAGGTCCTTCGACATTTCTATGAGTCTCGAATATTGACCTACTGCCATATGTGAGGTATACATATACAGGCCATCCTCCAGAGCCAGAGAAAGACGGGGTATCCGAATCAGTCATCGATAGGAAGATGACTAATCGCCTCGGAAATTCACGCGTCCGCCAATAGAATGGATTTCCCTAAATTGAAGCCTCATCCGATCCCTGCACAGAGAGATCTCAGAGCATCACGCTGGACTCTCGAGGTCTTCCTCGCTCACTAGCGTCGCTCGTTACGGAGGGACACGGGAAACCTGGATACACGGCTCCGATAAGTATATCTGCATTCAGCATCGAACGAGATCAATTTTCAATACGAACGTGACATCCTTCACTGTGCGCTTGTCAACAGAGCCAGGGGAATCGCAAGTCAATCTACATACATCGCCCATAAGTCACAAGAATCAAGTCGAAGCTTAGATAGAAAGCCCGATGTTTGCCCTCCCACGGACTCCACGTGAGCTAGACCTTATCGAAAGAATATCCGAACTGATCTGGGTTTATAGGTACTCGATTTCTGCAGCACTTCGAGAACTTCAGATAGGCTTCCGTAAACGGGACCCCGAAAACGCATGGCATTGGAGAATCGTCCAGGCATCGTTTTGCACGGAACCCACACTGCGTTGTGGACGCTCGAAGACTGGTGATGGATACAGCCCTGGGCCGGGGAATCTTATTGCGCGACCGGCTGAAATTGCCGGGGACCTCTCTTTTGTTATTCGAGCTCCGAATATTGCGAATCCCTCCCTTCCGTTCTGTGTAGACCATGTCCTCGCCGCGGCGTCCGGTAGGGATGAGCTATTGCGTCGCAAACGTTTCCGAAAGTGAAGTGAAGCTCCGAGGCAGAGGGTAGGGCGAGCATGGGTTTCTCCAATCCAATGCAATACATTGAGAGTCTGAGGAGGAATAAATTGAAGACAGGGAGAGGAGTGGCTTGTGTTGGGGAAACTCCAGAGGAAAGGTGACGAAGAGAGGAACAAAATAGAAGGAACATCGTTACCGAATGGACCCGATGCTCGTCTGGTCCGTGATTCTTAGAGCGCAGTCTCTCGAGAGGAACACAGAGAAGACCCTTACTGACTGAGTGAGTTCCCACCTGGAATTGCACACAGAACCGGAATGGAACGCGATCTCCCGGCAAGTTCCTGCACCTGTGGAGATTTTCCCTTCCGTGCCGGCTTGTCGAATGGCTCAAGTCTGATGTATTTATCCAGAGTACCGTTGGAGGACTCCTTCCATAAATTCCCGCATATATGACTCGGGGATCGATCTTTTCGTTCCAACAGAAAAATGCCGAACAATTTGATGGTTCGCTCATCGGCGAAATATCCGCTCGTAGCCTCGCCGAATGTCTCACTGACTCATCAGCTCCACCTGCGGGGGATATCGCGGATGCTGTTACTTGAAAGCTGCTTCGCTTGGAGCCGAGCGAATAATTATGCGCTCCGCAGGCCGAAGCATGAGGACATACGGAAACGCTCTGTACGCAATTTCCGGAACGTCGTGATTTAAGGCGATAGATATGATGTGAGCGAGATCGTCCCAAGAAACGTTGTCGAAAGAGCCGCGCGTTCTTGTGGGCGGTCGTCATCTCGAAGGAGAGTCTAGATAGCTGCCTCGATAAACTCGCGACTCCGATCCAACATGCGCTCCTCGCCGCTCACATTTCCGCATTCTGATCCTAGAGGTCGCATCGGGGACGACAAGAGAACATTCTCCCCCGTTCCGAGATTCTAGGAAGGTCACTCATATCAATCTCTATGAACGAACTGCTGGCGATCGCAATGACTCGAGGTGGGATTAGGAGCAGGTCTCTAGCCAAGATGACGAGGCTAGTGTTCGTCTCGGAGGTCTCGAACGGAATCACCAGTCCAAGGGAGTTGAGCGAAACAGTAAGCCTGTCGAGACTAAGTGAATCGAGAAAAATAAAAGTTCCTCAAGTATTCGAAGGAACTCGGTCATCCGTCATCATCCGCTTTCTCGGTCGGCAATCGGTCGGTCGTCCCAGCGGCGCGGCGCGTCCAGCTGAACCAAAAAGGGTCATAAAGATTTTTATATCTGCCTTTTTTTCTCGTCAATGAAAGACTCCACTGATGCAAGTCGTTCTTCATACGGCGGCGTTCTCTGATAAAATATCGGAGCATTCCTTGGAAAGAGGGAGACTCGTCGATGATGCTCCCAGTGTTTGAGCTACCTCCGTTGATCCCGGAGCTCTTATCATGCGGCGGTTCGGCGGAGCGGGCTCCAAACAGAAAATCTGCGTTCTCAAGATAAACTGTGGAAGCTGCCTGAGGCTGGCCGTTACGGAATCTCCTTTTCGTTTCTGATCGGGCATCTGCTGACGCATCCTTCGCGCTCAGCTCCCGGGTCGCGATCGACCGTAGGCGGCTCCAGGTGAAGCTCACGCGGACGAGCGAATGATATAAGCATCAGAACGAATCCCGACAGAGAGCCCGCTATGACTCCGCACGCTGCTTGGCGAGCCGGCCGGCCTGTCGGCTAGAAATCGCGATTCCGCTCTCAACTCGATCTCTGCGGACCTCATGCTTCCCTCGAGAGCTTATAGAGGAACCTCGACAGATTAGAGGACTCCAGTGACTCCCCAGGGGTGTCTGACTGAGAGTAATCACCGGGATGATGTTCTCGGGCCTTCTCGTGCGAAAACTTGATTTCGAGAGCGGAACCGGGCAAACTTCGCGTCGAACTACGCTCCAGGGTATTCCCAGTTCCCGCGCTGAGGCTCAAACCTGCGCAAAAATCTGAAGAAAGACATGAGCCTTCATCTGCATCGGTATATGCCTCGACCTTTAGTATATGTCAAGGCACAAACCGATGCCGATCTCACTATACCCACGTAAACTGAGATCGGTATTCGGTTCATTTGCATTCACCAAGGATCGACGCATCCCATAGACGGGAAACACTGGAGATCTCTTCTGACAAAACTTTCCTGAATTCTTGTGTTGCTACTCGGCGGATAGATCTCGCTCGAGGAGAAACCATCAGTCTATAGCCCTATAGGAAAA